TTCTTTACCACTAATTCCATATGCTATGAGTTTTTGCTGTAACTTTAAATGATTCACGCTATCAAAAGCCTTAGACATATCCAACTTATGTAATACATTTTCAATATAAGAAATTAGAGCTGTAGTAGTAGATTTATTTTTTCTATATCCATGCTGTTCTTGATCTAATAAGTGGTTGTTTTCAAAATAATCTACTAGTTGAAAAAGTAAACTTTTTTCAAATAGCTTTGATAGAGCAGGTTGAATTGCCAATGGTCTATAGTTTTGCGGATCTTTTTTATCACCTTTTTTATATACTGGAATTATTTTTGATATTTTTAGTTGAGCGGGGAAAACACCTGTTATTAGTGATGTATTAATCACATGTAAAAGTGGCTTTAACAAAACAGATTTTGATTCTTTAATAATTTTGATTGGAATTTCATCATTACCGGATGACCATTTAGGTTTTATTGAATCAATTATGGATGTCAAAATTGATTCATCGATGGTTTGACACCTAAATTTTATATTTAAAGTTTTGTCCAATCCTCTTTGGAAAGGTCATAAATGAAAAGGTTAATGCTCTCTTGTTTATACCTCCTTTCATACTTATGTATGAAATACAGGGTGAATAAAAAGTCAAGACCCCCCCCCCCCTCTAATATTTTTCCAAGTAAATATACAGAGATATCCTTTTGGTGGTCGAGCAATCTTAGCAGGAAGTTTAATTTTATCATTTTGAAATTTTTGAGTGTCCCCCCAAAAGGGGGGATTTGGGGGGCAACTCAAATATTTTAAATGTAAACCCCCTTCAAGTGACACCTCATTTTGAAGTGTTTACAAAAACTTAAAGAATGGTGAAAACTAGAGGTCGCTATCTCTTCTCTATCCAAAATGGTAGCCCGTTAAATGTTGTGAAAAATCAATGGTAAAATTGTTAATATTGGCTGTCATTTTGGATAGAGAAGAGATAGCGAGCTCTGGTTTTCACCATTCTTTAAGTTTGTTTAAACACTTCAAAATGAGGTTTCACTTGATAGGGGTTTCTATTGAAACATTTTAAGTTGTTCCCCGAATCCCCCCTTTTGGGGGACACTTAAAAATTTTAAATGTAAACCCCCTTCAAGTGACACCTCATTTTGAAGTGTTTACAAAAAATTAAAGAATGGTGAAAACCAGAGGTCGCTATCTCTTCTCTATCCAAAATGGCAGCCAATATTAACAATTTTACCGCTGATTTTCCACAACATTTGACGGGCTACCATTTTGGATAGAGAAGAGATAGCGACCTCTAGTTTTCACCATTCTTTAAGTTTTTGTAAACACTTCAAAATGAGGTGTCACTTGAAGGGGGTTTACATTTAAAATATTTGAGTTGCCCCCCAAATCCCCCCTTTTGGGGGGACACTCAAAAATTTCAAAATGTTAAAATGAAACTTCCTGCTAAGATTGCTCGACCACCAAAAGGATATCTCTGTATATATACTTGGAAAAATATTAGAGGGGGGGGGGGTCTTGACTTTTTATTCACCCTGTATAACAGAAACACAACTTCCTGTATCTAGTTGCATATTAATCAAAATACTATTCTTAAAATGGTTTACAATACCTGCATATAGTAATCCTTTGTTGCTGATTTAGGCATCTGAAGTAAATTAGCTCTAATAGAATCTTCATTTATGCCCATTATGAAGGATGTAATGAGAGCATCTTGATAAAAGCATCGATGTATAATAACTCCCTGGATTGCGCGCTCAGGTTGAAGTAGGGCTCGAAAAACGGTCCGCCACTGCCTTGCTCTGTCCGCGAGGAGTGGGGATAAAGGCATGAGTCACCCTAGTGGCGAGCGTCGCGCCCGCTCTCGCCGTGTATTGCTATGTTAGTTTTGTGGACATATTCCAATGATAATTGATTGTAACGAACTTAAGGAGGTTATATAGGCATATATAATTAATCTACGTACTTGCTCACACTTTATAGACTATGTGTCAAAAGTAAATCTCATAAGAAATTTAGTGATGTTATGAAAGAGTTAGATTTATTAATATTTGAACATTAAACAGGGCAAAATATATCACAATAATTATTTGATCACAAAGCATGTCATAATTTGCTGCTGTGAGGCCCAATTATTATTGAGATACTTTGCAACATTTATGAATATATATTTTGTTTATAGTGTACTAGCTGTTACCCACGGGCTTCACCCCGTTTGACTTCATAAGTATTAATAAAATTATTGAATGGTTAAGTTAAGCTGAAATAAACAAAACAGGATACAGTAATACAAACAAATAAGTACAACCATAGACTAACCGTTTTATCTATGGTACAACTGAGGTATTTTTAACATTAGGTATATGGAAAGTTCCCTTTCGAAAGGAATTACGACCGTAAAGGGCAATTTTCGAAATAATAAATAGTTTTGGGCAAGGTTTCTCGTCATGATGAACATTTTAAGTGTATGGTTTATGGGGGTGTGACTTGTAGTTTTCTCAAAAGTTCATGGGTACTTTTGGCTTTATATATAGATGTATCTTTGCTATACTGTGATTAACGTGTTTGGAAAACATATTATGTTGCTAAATAAAATTTGTGTAGCCTATAATATTTAATGCCAATATCTCAAATGTATTTATTATTCTCACTGAAGTAAAATAATAACAAAATATTTTCTCAGGTATTAAATACTACTGTGGAATCCAACATTTATTCTTTGATTCAAAGAATTTTGTTAACTATAGACTACCGGTAAGCATTAAAATGCATAAACATACGCTTGTAAATTTTGTTACCATTCATCGTAATGTATTGACATATTTGATGTAATAAAATTATAATTAAATGCTAGAAACACAGTATCTAGATCCCGTAAACTGATGCTGAGCCGGCCGAGCTCCTAGCGCCAATGCCGCGCCAAGCGATTTTATGCCTATTTTTAATCGCTTAAAAATGATACAAGCAGACTCCGTATCAAAAAAAGCTTCAAATAAAAAATTAAATTCATACTTTGATCTAAAACTTTGCCGCAGGAATTTTTTTCCTGACCAAAAAATAAAAAAGTTCCTCGCTTACTACATTTTTCATGTTTTTAATGGTGTTAAAAAACGATCATCAGTTTTAATTTGCCTAAATAAATTATAAAGAATATGTTAAGGTAAAAACTAACTACATAGTAATAAGCACTGGTTTTTCCAGAAAAATAATATATCAATTTGAAATTTTTATGTTAACAAATAAATGTAGCAGAGCAGGTTGAGTGAATGTATGTTTGTGTTAAACAGTGAGGTTCATTCGGCCCGTCCGCCTCGGTATCCCGCCAATTCGATTGGCGGGCACGGACCGTTTTTCCACCACCTAGCGCGCTATCCAGTAGAGTTATTATACATCGATGGATAAAAGTCACCAGGAAAATCACAACTGCTGGCTAATTATTTTAAGTTACTTGCAAAGGTGGACAAAGATTCATCACCTTGCTTCAGTGAAAAGAATTTGACTCTTTCAGAAACTTTAAACTTTACTGGCTTGATATGCTTTACCAAAAAGTTCATAAAGTTGTTCATAAGTGAATTCACAAATATCTTTTGGCTTGTAATTAATTACCAATGTTTTAAGAACTGTAATATCCAGACAGTCAATGAATAAACATCTTTTAATATCATCATTTTTAATATTGCCCAAACATAAATTTGCCTTGAATTTAATATTCCAAACATCAATGTCGCATGAATTAGGGTTAAATTTTTCACATCTAGACTTACCAACGTATAGGATTATTAACCCTCCTGGTGTCGGTCATTTTTTGTGTGGTGTCAGACGATTTTTGGGCATTTTGCAGTAATATTTATTAAAAAATGTAACAAATCTACTTTGTAAAATAACTATACCTTGTTATATATTTCTGTGCAGCTAAATATATGCACATTATGATTCTGCACAAATAATTAGGTTTTTATAACTATTTTATCATAAAAACGTACTTAGAAGGATAAAAAATACAAAATAAAAATATGAAAAAAATGTTCGTGCTTTTATTTTTATGAGTAATTGTAACTAAATGAAAAATCTGAAATAGCCATTTATTTCTAAATGTTATAGCGAAAAATTAAATATGAACTTTAGTATGGTTAACTTAATTTTTAGGACAGCCAAGAGTCATAAATATGATCGAGGAATAGTAGCAAAATCACTCACTAGGCATATTACAATGACTTTACTGCCATTACACATAACCTTAAAATATATTACTGCAAACACATCAAACCAACAAGTTAGTCATCACTGATTATTTTGTACATCTAAATATGTAGTCTAAACAGATAAAAATCAGTTTTCAATAAAGAAAATATAGTAACAAACAACTTGTAAACAACAACAACAACACGCAACACGGCAACCAAAACATTGTTTTTGTCTCAAAACATCTGGAAACAGACAAACAAAAGTAAGGTTGTGAAACAGACACCAGAAGAAAGCCAGTTTTCTGCTGTTTACAGTGATATCAATCCAGTCCAAATCGGACTGAAATTGACTGAGTTAAAAGACAATATGTAACCGTACAGTATAGAAGATTTTAGTAGACCTAATTTCAATTTTAAATAATGTACCTATAGTATTTTGTAATGTTTAACTGTTTCTTATTGATAATCTAGGTAGTAAGGAACAGACCTGACACTGTTCATGTATAAAAATTTGTACTGTGTGAATAAAGACTTTTTGAACCTTGAATATATCGCTAAATCTAAGTGATATAATATTGACAAGATAAAAAAATTCAATTTAGTTTGTTTTGAAATTAGCTAGGTTTTGAAACTATGTTTATTGCAATGTAAGTAACATCTATTTGGTCTTTAAAACCAGTTAAAATAACTGTAATTTATATTTCTTAATCTTATTTAATGCCGTTTTTATAGAAATATAATTCAAAAGGCGTAATTTACGGCATATCAATGGTATTACGATTTAGAGGTAACCGTTCTTGGGTTAGGTATTTTGTTGATAATGTCATTTTTTTTCAGTTGAAATGTCACTTGCAAAGACAACTCGCTCAGCAGGAAACCAAAGTAAATCAAGATTTGAGTTTCAACACTCAAATCCTTGGCACACTAGGCAAAGTGCTGCCATATTTGGGGTACAATCACAACAGGTGAGAAGAAAAAAAATGAAATACCACTATTTTATGTACAGTAATGCCTTTCCCTAATCTGTCTACCAATACCACTTACTGAGACTAACCAACACAAGTAGACTTCCCATACCATTGTAAATTTTGAAGCTGGTTTTTCGTGTCTAGTTAATGTCACTGGTGGCTAGTGTCAACGAAATTTAATTCTATTAGGCCTATTTTAGATTTAATTCATGGTTTGTGCTTTACTGTTTGGTTTAGTTCATGTCACTGGTGGCTAGTGTCAACAAAACTTAATTCTATTATTTTAGATTTAATTCATGGTTTGTGCTTTACTGTTTGGTTATATAACTAGAGGATGAGTTAGTGTTTATGATTATATTGTTTTATTTGGTTAAACAGGGTTTTTAATGCACCGGACAGAACTAACGGTAAAATTGTCTTCAGCTGTTCCATAAGGATGGGGAATCTACTAAAGGAGTATGTTTTATCCATGCTTAATACTTTGAAGACTGTGTTTGAAAACTCACCTCGCCTAACTGCTTGTTATAGGCTGAATATAATTGTAGTGAGAGTTTAGAATGGAGCGGAAATACCTGTTTAGCTTTTTACTGACCAAGACAGCGCCGCTCAATGATAATGATGATGGGTTTGGCTCATGGCCGCAAGAGGTTTTACGTTAGTTGGAGGTGCAAGGAGGAGAAAAAATTTTTCCGAAAGGAATGAGAGAGAGGGCGCAGTTATCTCTGGGGCCCATAGCACGTCCCATGGAAACCACCAGCCTGGACTAAGACCAGCTGTTTCTTTGTTAGGATCATTTAAAGCCCAATGACAAAGAACAGCTTCGCCAAATTAGTTTTGAACCATCAAAAACTTACTTTTCTTTGAATCAAATCAGTGATGGTTTGACCATCCTTTGACAGTGGCAGTCCCAGGATTTAATTTTGGGGGGGGGATGACCCAGGAGGGTTTGGGGGTCCCCCCCTCAAAAGAAAAGTGGAATTTAAAGCCTAAAAACATATTTTTATACGTATTTGAGCTTTAAAATATGCTCAAGCTAATAGTATTTATGTTAGCTAATAAAATGTAAAATATTTCAGGGGGGATATTCCTCCCATCCCCCCCCCCCCCATCCGGGACTGCCACTGTCCTTTGAGCAATCTAACTGATCACTACCCATCTACAATATTAACTTTTAAAAATAAAATTATACTCTGAAAGAGTTTGTTTTTTAATTACCAAGCATAACTGTCAGATTTTAGTCAAACTTATTTCATTCAGCATAAAATGTTCGCCTGAATTTTGTTATATGTCCAAACAAGGCAGTGATACTTTATTTATTTATGTTTATTTATTTTTATTCTCCTAGATTAAAACCTTTTACTGATTTGGTTGAAATTATAACTTATTAAAAAACTTCTGAAACTTTTGCAAAACTTATGACAGCCAGCCTTGATCATACTACTGGACCGAATTAACATGGGTTGTAGGCCTACGAAAAGAAAGGTTATCAGTCCTATATGTACAGGTTTTTTTTGTATTTGGATAATATTTATGTTAATTGGGTCTAAAATGGAAATTCAATTTTTATTATGGAGATCTACAGTATATATTCAAACAAGCATGTTTACTGAAAAAAAAATTTTTAATAGCAGGGCATTTTATTGCCTACTTATTTACACTTCTCTGAACCTCTGTGCCTATACTACAGTTCTAATTCTGTGTCTATTTACTGTGGTTAAGTGTTGTTGCTAATTTAGTGTTTTATTCCAGTGGCCAACACAAGACTATATGTCAGCTGAAACTACTCGACGTCCTCCAAGTTGACATATGTGAAAGAGAAATGTCACATCTTAAAGACTGATTATGTAGAATAACAATACCATGACAAACGAGTGCTTACATGAATGTATTAGAGGAATGTGCTGTAAATACTTAATTATCATTCAGAATGTTGTCAATACAGTAGAACCCCAATCATCGTCAACTCAAACTATCTGTATCATCGTCATAGTTTTTTTTGGGGGTTTGCACGGTAAAATCTTGCTCATCTTCTGCAGTCTTGTAGATAATCATCATAGTTTTTTGTTACTGCAGCAAAATGTTAAATATATCCCACAGTCCTAAATTATCTTCTGTGGCTACTGAAACTAAAGACGTTTCTAGTCTTACCAACTCGATTCTCATCCGTTTGTCCGTTACCAAGCTTCTGAACCACTAGTACAACTAGGATAGTTATGGTGTAATCGGTTTCTACTGACAGTCAGTTGGACTTCAACAGTTTTCTAGTTATTGTACAACCTAAAACACCGGTTGAAATTTGCATTACCAACCAGCATTTTGGTATGCCGAGAGACAGACATTCGAATTTTAAGAAAAATAATTATTAACATGTCAACCACATTTAACTTAAAAAACTAAGCAATGGTTTGCTGAAAAAAATATTTCCCTAACATGAGTTCAAATTTCCATTGCATAATCTTTTATGCACACAAATTATATTTTTAACTAAACTTGTTTCCATACAAGTTTTTTCATAGCTAAAAATTTCACCTTTGCTTGAAACGCAAATTCTTTATGGCAAAAAAAACTACATTATTAGTAAAATCTTAAAAATATGTAATACCTACAATCAATATTTTTAAACACCTTGTTCGTAAATATTTCAGTGAAAGGTTAAAACTTAAAACCACATTTTAGTCGAACCAAATTACTCTGAAACAATCTTAAAATGGTTGTGTTGGCCGCAAGACTAATTTCTTATTTTTCACTCTTAATCCTTTCTAAAATTGTATCAAAAACCACATCACTGGAGTAGAAATTGTGGTTACACTTGGAGATGCATATTGTTGATGTATACCATTTCTTTGAGAAGTTCAGATTTGATTCCATTAAAAATTAAAACTAAATATTATTGTGATTTTGTTGTGAAATTAAAATTAGAGCTTCGACCTTCTGTTTTTCATAATATTATTTTCTTCCAGCAGAAGAATCGTAAGAATCTGCCAAGTAGTTGATTCAGAATATTTGAATATAATAATAGACCCTCGTATATTTTAAAATATTTGCTGTACCGTGGTTCTCTCAATTTGATTTTTAAATACTTCTGTATTCATTACTTGTACCATTTGTAATAAATTCAGTTTATTTGTATTTTATGGATTATTTCCCCCCTTAATCATGCTGTTTTTTTACATTGTTTGAAAAAAATCTTGTCTATGTACCATCAAATTATGTAAGCCCATCAGGAACATCATTTATGTTAGACAAAGCCTATTGTATTTAACTAAATGGCCGAAATAAATCTTTAATCATTCACAACATCTCTTTCAATAAAAAGTTGTCTATTAATTATTGCCTTCATTGGTTATTTAGTATTTACCTTGTGATTTTTTTTATTAATATGTTATTATTATTACCAGTTGAGATGAGGACATCCCCTAGATTAATATTTTACCCATGTATGAGACATGAGTAAAATCAAGACTAAAATGGAGTGATAAGGAGATGCCTTTGTGTAGTTCAATGATCAAGGACAGCGGACAGCTATTTATGACAATAGAGAGAGATAAATGGATTATTTCTATCCATCTCTATGTATATTACACATCGAACCTTAAACAGCCGAAGAAGATCAACATCCACCATTAATTATGGCTATTGTCAATAAATTATTTGTATTTTATTTTAATGGATATTCAATTTTGTTTTATGTGGTGCTATTTGATTACAAACATTATCTGTATCAATATAATAGTTATATGCAATGTGTACATTTGCAAGATGGCTAATATTAAATAACAACTAAAACATTTTGATGTACTGAGACATAGGCAACAAAAACAAATAACAGTAATATAATAATTAATAGCAAAAACAATAACAATGACGATCGCCCTATGTACTGACCATAAATAACGTGGAAAACAGGCATGTTCAAAAAATAAATATTAGCTTAAATATGTTAATAATGCTGTAGTCAATAACAACCTAACAAAATCACGGATTCTGACTATACAGTGTAAATAAATATGACTTAAGAAAAAAAACGATGTTGTATTTAATAAGGTTTTTACCAACAAGGATACTGAAGAAACAAAAATAAATAAACAGATAACACTCACACACTTTCTACCTGCTCAGGCGTACAAACACTCGCTGCACCTACAAATTTCGTATATGGGGCCCTTTAAAGGCATCGCCAAGCACAACTCACTTTGCTGCCACATATCTTCTGGGCTGTCGTTATTGGATGAGGCGTTGCTTTACCGCTCTTCTAAAACTCGCCAGGTTGCTGTTGAAGTCAACACTAGAGGAAACGGTGTTGCCGAGGAGCTGTATTCTGGGCAAAGTACTGTTCTTCTCATAATTTGTGGACTGGTGGGCTCTACCAAAGAGTTCAGTTGACCTTGTGCCACTATAGAAACGCAAAAATGAATTCCCTCCAGTATCTCAGGACAGTCTATTGCTCCGTTCACAAGTTTAAAGAGAAAGATGATATCCTGGAGTTTCCTTCGGTTTTCCAGTGTATCCAGCTTGTGACAGTTAAGTGGCTTGGGACTGATCACCCCAAGAATATAAAATCATTGTTGTGCTAGCCAACAATGCTGACCCATTGCTCTTGTGGGGTACACCTAGCGCTGATCGGTCCATCCGCGGCTGGATATCGTGCGGTTCGCATTCCGGGCCCGGTTGAGATGGTATATCCTATTTGTGAAGACTACTGTGGTGAGTGACTCTTTAATTTTGACTCAGTGTGATTAGAATTTCGGCTACTTGACCTACTCTTCAACCAGGAATGGACTTTGTCACATTTTATTGTTTTTAACAATAAAGTGGGTCTTATTGCTTCCTACAATGGAATAATTTCTTTTGTTCTTCATGAAACTGATTTAAATATCTATATATCTAATTCCGTAAGCCCAAAATTTTACAATGAAATTGTGAGCAAACGGGAGGTCGTAGAAAGCTGGGAGAGGTCTCATTTTAAAGGTCTGGGCATGAAATTTTGGGGAAAATTATTCATTTTTCTTAAATATGCACCAAAAGGTTGTTACGTAATAAAATAATTCCCATTTAAATAACATGGGAATCTAGGTCATGTCTGCTTTGTTTACCTACTTTAAAACATGTGGTTTAACTTTATTTAAAGCATATGGTAATATGTACTGTACTGTAACATGTATAGACCTTTTCCCAATTTTAAGGGTCTGGATTAGTCAATGGAGTACGATTGGTTGTGTTAGGTATGTCTGAAAAAAGTGTAAAGTTTGAAGTAATTTCTGGAGTAGGCAAAGGGAACATATTTTTCATGCCAAAAATAAAACTAATATCTACAGATCATAATATGCTGTTTAAGTTTACAAGGATTCAATTTTCATTATAAATAAAGTGCAAGGCCAAACCTTCGAAAAAGTTAACATTCATAAAAAAAACCATTGTTTACCCATGGTCATTTTTGTTGTTTTTAGCCGGGTAGGAAGCGGCCAGATAATGTTATAACTACTGTTGTTAAAGTACTACTGTAGAACCAAATAAAGACCAAGGAATCAAACAAAATGCATAGGCTACTATAGGCACAACAAATGTTTCCAGAGAGGTTTTGTTATAGAATTAGCATTTTAGAATTTGGAGGATGGCATTATCTCTATGTGTTTTATCTAAGTGAATTTGTTTATATTCAAAGAAATTTGTACATATTTAATTAATAGTCATGAAGATTATTATTAAACATGTTCCTTAGTTGTAATATGATTTAGTTTGTATTATAAACACACCGCATGAACAGTCCTTTGCAATTTTTATTTTAATCAGAGCAGACATCAAAATGCATTGCAGGTATGTATACATATAATATGCAAAAATGTTCAACGATAATTCAAGGTAGGGTAACCCATGAGACTAATAATTTGTACAAAATAATTACTAGAATATATAGTATATAGGGGCTATTGCCCCTACAAGCCACTAGTTGTATTTAGATATTTAATGTAGACATTTTTGAGAATTGATTAGATTTTAGTGATTATTCCTGATAATAGTTTATCCAATTTTTGATAAGCTTAACCACTGAGACCTTGGTAAAACTGATTGAGGCTAGATATTCTTGTAAATTTTATTAGAGGATTTAATTTAATTTTGAGGGAATTAATATTGTTTTTTTTCCTTTGTAATATAAAGTCTACACTTTGAAGCCAATAAATGATTTTGTTACTTTGGGAATTTTGCTAAACTTAATATTCCTGTGGATAACTTTAGATTTTAACTGAATTTTATTATAAATCATTTAGACTAGCTGGTACACAATAAATGTGCAATCACTGCATGTTTGGTAAAGTAAGATTACAAAGTTTGCCATACCAAGTGAGGTGTGTTGGTTTCTGCAATTTGGGACGGAGTTGATTCTTCGTGATCTTCCGATTGAATATTCCCTACACGAAGTGGCGCCCTTAACATATTCACTTGCAACCAACTTTTAAGGAAAATAGTAACTAAACCTCATTTGGTGAAAAGAACCCTGCCCATATCTCCCTAAGCTGGTTGGGACATTTGGAGGGTGGCAAGCTTCAGTAGACAAGATACATAATGGAGTGAGAAGGCACAGAACTGTAATTATACCCAAGTCTCAGGCCGACCAGGCATAATAGTCTCTTCTATACTGCCTATGCTAGCCTGCAATGTTGACACTGCCGTAATCTGGTGTGGGGACCATACAACAGATGCGTATTATGGGTCGCACATAAGCAAAGCACAGTAAAGCAGCTTAAGTGTGGATGGATTTGTAAGGTGGTGTGGGGATCTATATATTAGACTTCCTGCTTGCTCTGGATGAGATGTTATAAAGTTATTGGTAAAACTTAAAGAAGAGTGCATCAAGATTCAAAGTCCTTGGCTTCGTCCTTTCTCTTAAGAGTACAATCACTGAGAGTATAACTTGTATTAAGTCTAGAACGTGTTCTATGGAAGGACATGTAAAAACATTTTCCTTGTTAAGCACCATGTAATTTTCGTTAACACTCATCTAGAGTCTAGGGCATCCTGAAGGGAGCTCTCATCGGCTTTGTTCCTAATCTTGGTAAATATTTTCATATCATCAGCAAACAATAAGTTATCTTGTTTACTCCTAGGCCCCTAACAATGTCAATAAAGTCAATAAAAAGTATTGGACCCAAGTATGATCCATGTGGGACTCCTGAAGTAGCATCAATCACTGAAGATTGTGATAAGGTAAATCATACAATCAGCTCTCTATTCCTCTCTCAGATAGCTCCCGAACCATTGCAGCAGCGATCCGTGGATTCCACAAGATGAAAGTTTCACCAGGATTTTGTTGCTATAACCTTGTCAAAAGCCTTTGAAAAGTCCAGAGGTACAAAGCATCAACCTTGGAAACCCTCTAAGCCGCCATTACGAAGGATTCAAATGTGACAAGGTTAGTTATGATTGACTTCCCCGGGACAAAGCCATGCTGGGAGGGGCTTAAGGCTGGAATTATCACTGGAGATACCCTGGTTAGAATTAGTTTTTCAAAAACCTTAGCGAGCAACGGTTAATGGCTATGGGTCTGTAGTTTTTAGCATCGGTTTTAGAGCCTGACTTGTGAATAGGAATTATTTAGCTGGATGACTTGAGGGCAGTTGGAAAGATTCCGTTTGATGCACAGACTCATTGAACAACTGCTGAACAGGCTTAGCAATAATGCTAAAACAGTGTCTGAGTACCAGCGGGTGGTACAGAGTCGGGTCCACAGCCTTTAGATGTATCTAAGTCACGAATGAAGGGCTCTCAACACTTCTTCCTTGGAGAAATTATACATGATCTGATCAGGTTGATCATAATCTAAAAAGCAACGCTTCGATGCTAACAGCACTCTCTGGTTTGAGGGATTTCATTGTAGTCTGAGGAACTGAATGTTAATTGTCTTGTATTTCGTGTGCAAGTTTTTTATGGATGACTTGTTGCTTGAGTTCTCTGCAGAAACATGCGGGCAATTTTAACTGACCGATCCTCAATTTTGGGGTATGTTTTCAGATTATTGATTGGAGAATATAATTTACCATTTACCATTTACCTCGTAGTCCACAATTTTCGGATCGGGGAGTCGTCAGCAGATTTCTTCCCTTCTTGGAGGGGTCTTGAAGAAGCTGCTCATTTAGGTGTTGCTATTCAGTGTATGTGGTTTTGTAATATGTCCTGTTTATTAGGTATTCTTTGAGTTTTGTTTGTGAAGCTGTTGATTGTGGTTGTTGATTTTATATGTTCTGATAATAAATTGTAATAATATGTACCTAATTGATATGGGGGTATTGCTGGTTTTTTTGTAGGTCGGTGTTGCTTTGTGTTAATGTTGTATTTGTTTTGGGTGTTGTATGTGTGAATGTCTGATCGTGGGATGGGGGATGATTTTTTGCCTAAGAGTATTGTGCCAAATATATACTGGGAGGTTATTGTTAGGATTTTGAGTATTATGAATAGGGGTTTGCAGTGTTCTAGGTATCTGTGAAGCTACTGAAATTGGAGTCAAGATCATCAATCAAACCATTGCTGAAGAGTTCGGTTGAGAGTATCTCGTTGTAATTAATTAGCGATTAGATTGCACTTGTATTTTACATTTTACCCAAGTTATGCTTCACTCTGAGTATGAATACAGTTACAGCTGAGAATATAAGAATTTCATCTTGTTATGTTGGCTACAATGACTGGATGTCAACAGCAGCGTTAGCTCTCAGCCAATAAAATTGCCCCACGAATAAGTTGTCTTCTCTTCTGTTCGTCTGTTATCTTGTGGATGTGGATGGAGTATATTATTTTGAATTATGGTAGTGGACGTGGGGTAGTAAAAATTATTTACCTTCTTTAAGTTTACTTGAGGACCGGTGTTTTAGAACTGGGGTGAAGCATGGAATATTTTCAATCATCTTGGAAGTTTTATTCAGCATGCATGTTTATATTCTCTTTGGATGTGTTAATATCAGGTAATCATAACCCTACAAAGTAGTGTTAACATGCATTTTATTTTTATGATTTATTACAGACTTCTTTATTACATTATAACAAATAGCATATTACTGTAATGTTACTCGAAATAAATATCCTAAATGTTCATGAATCGGTGTAATATCCCATGCACCTAAATCTTTGTTGAAGAATGACTTGAGTTTTAAGGTTATAGGCCTAATACAAAACAGCATAAAATGAGCCTAACCTTTTTAAGCAAGATTAATGAAAAAGCCTATTGATGGCCATTTAACAACTTAACCAACTTGTGTTGCGACATATAGACAATAACAATTCCATAAAGTGTAAACATTAGGAATAAAATTAAATTATTATTACTAACAAATTAGGCCTACTTAGCGTAGCCTATGGTATAAGTTATCATGCCTTATGATCCTTAATGATCATATTACATAGCGCAACCCTCTACTTAAAATTTATCAAAGTTTGAGATTAGCCTCTGTTGTGCATTACGGCATGTAAGTTATCTTCAGACTTTTTTATCTAGGCCTATATAAGTTAGGCTATTAAGTTAAATTAGGCCTAACTTACTTAGTCTATGGGGGGAGCCAAAATTACCGTAATTAAGTTATATTGCAACCTAAACTTATTTGATTTTAAAACATTTTATGTCCTACGGTTTTATTATTATTATTAGTGCGGTTGACACAAAAGTTGCATTCATTTCAATCTTAAGCAATAGCGGCAATTCCCATCATCAGCACTCAATGTGTTAAACATTAAAATAACTTAAATACTACACAGTTATTTGGGCTAGACTTCCGTATCTGTTGTCAAAAACAACCGAATGAAAATAACGATCGATATAGGCCTAACTTATCGATTATTTCATTCGGGTATTTACTCAAGGGAGGTACAGAAGAGCCTTCGATGACGTCAGCTGTCAGATCTCCTCTTGAGGGAACACCATTACCGCAACGATACGGAATTCAGTCATCGGCATCGATGGTGTAGTGGGTAGCTTGTCGGGCTGATAATCCGAAGGTGCCGGGTTTGAATCCCGCTAGCAGCACTAACTTTTTGTCAAAAATTTTTTTTCATATCAGCAAGTTTGGTTGGTTTGGTTAGGTTATGACAGTTTAATCTAACATATAAAATTCTCGTGTCACAGTGTTTGTCTGCAAACTCCTCCGGAACGACTTGACCGATCGTTATGAAATTTGGTGTGTAAATTCTGTAGGTATGCGAATCGGACGTAAACTATTTCCCGTTTCGAAATTCTTAAAGGGCTCCGCCCCTGTGGCTCTGGAGTTTCCCATGTTAACCTTATGAGAAATGGAATTAATGAATCTTAACAGCTGTTTCAATTAAACAAGTTGGTTCTGTTCCATGATGTTCAATAGCATTAAAGTTACAAGGATTACCAACTGGGTGCAGCACTATTATTTCTTTTACATTTATGACAACAGCTAATTTGCAACCAAAAGGTGAGTGAGCGTAGCGAACGAACTTCAACCTGGAGGCGAGTTAGCGTAGCGAACGAGCTAACGAGCTCCAACCTAAAGGTGAGTGAGCGTAGCGAACGAGCTCCAACCCAAAGGTGAGTGAGCGTAGCGAACGAACTTCAACCAGGACGTGATTGAGCGATGCGAACGAGATCATCTTGAAAATTAAACGTAACGGTACTTTCTTTCCATCGGTCTGTCTTAGGGGAAACCTATAACTTAGGCGATACGAAGTTCGCCGGGTCAGCTAGTTTTATAATAAAAAAATTAAAAAATTGAGTTTTAGGCATTTTATAATTTTATTTTATGAACAAAACTATTTTTTAGATTAGTAAACCTTCATTTGATTTTTTCATTATCAGCACGTTTGGTTAGGTTATGGCAGTCTAATTTAATAATTGAAAAATTTTAATATTAATTTTATAAGTTTTCTTAATTTTATTTTTATAATTAAAACTAGGCCTACTATTGAAGCAAAAATTACGCGCTGTGCTCTGTACTACAATGTTGTTAAAGGAGGAATTTTAAACTAAGCTATAGCAGTAGGATACAGTCAAGGCCACAGTAAAAAAACAGGCCGTAATGCTCGTCAAGCATGACGTCACGATAGAAGACGGCAATGACGTAATGTTTGCCGTTCGTGATCAGCTGCTTGTTTTAATCTTTCCTTATAGGAAAATAAATAAATAAATAAATACCTTCGTCATTGCCGTCTTCTATCGTGACGTCCTGCTTGACAAGCATTACGGCCTGTTTGTTTAGTGTGGCCTTGATATAGTAAAACCTTACTAACTTGTCTTCCCATAAACTCAGCAGTCTGTTTAATTAAACAGCTGACAGGGCACATAAGAGAGAAGCAATTTTTCAGAACATTTCTTTGATGATTGTTTAGCCAGTAAGAAATGCTCATCTAAGCCTTAGTACTAATTACCTAATAAATTTATAGGCTATGAAAAAATTGGTCTGTTGACTTATGAAACTTATCCAAATTCATTTTTATGGTATATAGCCTCTGGATCATTGATTTTTACAACAAAAGGTTTAAATTACCTGTATCCATCCGTCAAGTGATCCTAGATTGTAGTTGGTTGACTACAGCTGTTTTGTGTTTATAAACACATCTTCAGTCAATGTTGCATTGATTTATTCCATAGATTTGTCATGAGGTTAAAAGTTTGCAAATAACACTTGTACACAAAATATTAAACATTAATTTGCCGAAACACAAATACTGTATATAAAAAACTACATCGTAGTGGAAAGGGTTAAACAACGCTGTAAGTTATTTGGTGAAGTTAAGAGTTAAGTACAACATTGAAATACCAATAGGCTAAATAAGTTACTCCATTATTGTGGTTTTTTCATCCGATAACGTGTATTAGGCTCTCTGCAGAACTGGGCCTCTGCATATTTGTAATGAACATGCTAGTCCTGTAATTAGTTTAATCTATCAATCTTAATTTTAAGCAAGTTTACAATATGAGTGTATTGTCGGTAATTTATTTTTACAGTAAAGCAATCGCTCGCCATTCCACAAGCTGAGATAGATAAACATTTGGAAATGGGAAAACTTTTCCTCTCCAAGGGTCAGCTACAAGATGCTCTTTCGCACTACCATGCGGCTGTTGGTAAGTAGGCCTACATTTCCCAATTGTAAATTATTTCAAACTCAATTAGTGAGTTTGGTTCCTGACAACCTGAAGACATTATTCAAATGTTAAAGACAAAAACGTTATATTTTGTCTCATATTTCTTAGAGGAAGATCGAGATGTACATTTTTCTTAGTTTACACTAGAACTCGAGAATTATTTAAATCCTGATTAGTCCAACTGAATTTATTGTGTTCTCGGTACTTATTTGGCCTACAATAACATGAAAATAATTGAAAATAATAGTGAGTGATTGTTATTTTTTACCAATGCTCATCATTTTCCACAGAGGGGGATCCAAATAACTATTTGACCTTTTTCAAGAGAGGCACAGTATACCTGGCCTTAGGTAAGGCCAAACTGGCCATCTCAGATCTCGACAGAGTTTTGGAACTCAAACCAGACTTCACAGCTGTAAGTAGTAGGTTTATACTTATTTAGTTGAAAGAAATCTTACGGATTCTCCAATTTCTCACTCTATGCTACTAAATTTGCCCAAGGCTAATGCATTTTAGTTGCCACCTTAGCTAGCAAATCAGTATTCTAATACCGGAGGTCAATAAAATATAATTTTAAACCAAATTTCTCTTAAAAAGCAATAAAACTTCCTGTATGATATTATACCTTGCGATTATGTCTTCAACATGTTTAAACCTAAATGGACGAGACACTTGTTATGTTAGTCCAGCATTTTTGAGTCTCCCAGCAGTGCCGAGAAAAACCTAGATTACTGACCACTGTTTGAAAATCTGGACATAATTGCTACAATAGCAAATATATCACTGAGTAGAGAGTCAAAGAACTATCACTAGGTATCAGAAAAAATTTTTTTAGTTCTATCTTTTTCTTAGGTTAGTTGTCTAATTTCAGCCTTGTAAAATCTGTGTTTTATTTCTATTTGTAGACATCAAGAACTCTTGCTGTCAATTAAAGCCCTGGTTTCAGGAAGGGAAACATTTTTTATAAGGCCTTGGTAAAATAGTTTCAGTATCCGACGGTATATTTTAATTCTTGATTTCTTAAAAGTTTAAATAGTCATAGAATTAGTTTTAGAAGTATAGAACCGGCCACAGTGACTTAATGAAAACAATTTTAAGATGGAGTGTTATTTATTTATCTCTACATATTTTTCAGGCAAGGCATCAAAGGGCAAATGTCTTTTTAAAACAGGGAGACCTTCATCCAGCCAAAGAAGACTTCACGGTTGTTGTAAGTCCAATATGCACATTTTTTAAAATATACATAGTCTGTGGTCTAGTTTATTAGTTGCAAAATGTATCTTCATTAAAAGAATAAATCTTGTTTTTTTCTATTACTGTTAACTTCTTGAACTGGGAAAGATCATCTACAGTAGAACCTCGCTAATCCGTCACCTATGGGACCGGGAGCATGGTCGGAACAGCAAAAAGGTCGGATTATCAGAGGAACGCGTTTATTGACATAAAAACGTAGTAAAACTGTATTTTTAACAGACCAGTGATAAATGATAACCACGGTTAATCCAACATGACATGGAGCAGTTATTTCCAACTCATAAACTAAATGGATGTTAATGTAATAATTTGCATATTACATCATAAAAATACAATTAGTGGGCTATTGCGCAATCATGATAATTATGTTATGTAATTACCCTTGGTTCAGTTATAAAAACTGTAACTTTTAAAATGACAGCTTTTTCAAACTTTTACTCTAACAAACAAATTGCCAAACATTGTACAGCAAAATAAAGAACAGAACATTAGAAAGTCTAGTAGGCTACTGCTACGCTGTTTCAGGACAGAAAATGTCGATAAAAACATTAGATAACGCATAAAAAAAGTATGAAATAACAGTAGCCTACTTATAGCATAACAACAGTCGTAAAATACACAAATAAAAATAACAATGACATAAAAACATTGCTTATTCTTTCTCTTTGTTCTTCTATTCTTTGTTAAGTTTCTCTTCATCCATCCATTCAACAAGTTGCCATGGTTACTAATCACCCAATCACAGGCTACTAAAGCTGTCATGATTACCAAATACCCAATCACAAAATGTTGTGACATAGCAAGCGCACAGCAGACGGATGTGTCGTGTGTAGGCCTGAGCAGACGATTGTCAGTGCAAACGGATAGTTTGACCTTGAAGCTTTGATCGGCATTCCTTTGTTTTGCTTCCATTTAATTTTGTCAAATGAACTGTGATTTTCAAAAAACAATAATGTGGGAGCCTACTTAATATTAATAATGGGCAGACATGGTTAAATATATAACAAATTTCAACACATTAGAGTAAAATAAACACAATTTATAAAGTTTTCTGGATATTTATCTTGGACAATGAGGTTATGTTAGCGGAAGCCTATTGTATTGGCGGCACGGTCGGACCAAGCGAGGAGTCGGACCATCAGAGGTCGGATTAGTGAGGTTCTACTGTATATCCATTGCTTAAGATTTGTTAAATACTTTTTTTTATGAAACAGTCCAAACCCTGGTCTTGTTACTGTCTAATGTCCGCCTTTTGTTAGATAGCATAATTTGTTAGTAATTTTCTAGAGGCAAATGGCATCTGGATCCAGATTGATCCTGCTTATGATCTAGCAACCTCCAAATTAGAAGGCTGTACTATAACCACTCGTCTACTCAGGAAATTTTTTAATTATAAAAAATCATGACAATTGTCCATACGTTTTTAAGTGGAGTATCTCAACTCTACGGTACACAAACAATGTTTTGAGGTTCTCTGTGAATAGCCCCCTGATGGTCAGTACTGCTACCATCCAGGGTTAGCACGTAAGCGGGACTTGGAGATTAGCAGCTTATGGCAAAACATTGCTAATGTGGTGTGATAGTGAAAGCAAAGACCTATCGTTATTTTCAGAGGTCTGCTGGTCTCTGATATTTTGGGTTCAAGTCGGGTCAAAATTTGACCTAAAAGACTGCCTTGAAAGCACAGACATTCACGCACATTAATTTGAAGACATTCACGATTTTACCGTGACCAGAGAACACATCCACAATCTCACCATCTCCTCGGAAGATGTTCTTAAATTTGCTGTGACTGCAGAAAATATCCTCGACTTTTTTGTGACTACATATAATTTTATCGCAATATAATTTATATAACTATAAACTGATTGTATTATTAATTAGAATTGATTAATTTATATTTTTAAAGTTCTTTAAACAATTTTGGCCTGAGACTAGAAGGCTAATGTTTTTATCCAACCTGACTTAAAGTGAATGGCCCTCAGACCCCCAGTTATTTTTTGTGCAGTATTAGGCCTCATTGACAGAGTAACTATCAGTACCCAGTATAAATGTTTGTTATAAAGAACCAAGAGAAGTTTTCAACTGAAGGAAGTTTGAATTATACAAGTTCTAGCTTATAAAACAGTTGTTTTGTTATAGTTTGAAGCAGAGGTAACCAATGAGATTCAAGAGTATATCCAGAAAATAGACGTCCTCCAAAGGCACATGGAACATGCTAGGCAGCACATTGAGGAACAAAACTACGAACAGTCACTGGAACTGTTGACACTAGTTCTCGAGGTATGGAGTCATTGTTATTTCATAAATGAATGTTTTTTTGTTTTTACCCCTGATGAAGTTATACGATAGATAAAACATACTCTCCTAGTAAATTTGTCATCCATATGGAGCCTTAAGATAGGAATTGAATTTCTAGTTTTACCAATGTCTAGTTTAGTCAAAGCTTTTAGTTAGATAGTTGTGGAATAGGAAACATCACTCAAGAGCAGCACATTCCTTCTTTGTTTTAATTAAACTACAGTACATTTTTTAGATTTAATACCAATTACAATTTAAACATGGAAATTAAACAAAAGTGAATAAGTTTAATTTAATGCATCCATATTAAGAATAAGAAAACTATTGTTCCTGCTTCATTCAAATTCATAATTATAAAGTAATCTTTCTGGGACAAATTTTGAAGTTTTTGTGATTGTAGGATTGCCCTTGGTCATACGAGATGAGAGAACTACGGTCGTTGGCTTACATGAGGATGGGAGACTCAACGTCGGCCATCTTGGATCTGAGGTCGGCTAACAAGCTGCAGGCTGATAGCACTGATGGCTACCTCAAATTGGCCTTGCTTCACTACCAGCTGGGTCAGGCACAAGAGTCACTTCGGTAAATATTGTACACAAACTCTGTGAAGTGAAAAATAGTCCTTCTTTCTTGTTTATATAAAACGAATATACAGTTTGGCAATTTATTTAAGACACTTGTTAAGTATGACACACTGTGCAGTATTTGATTTGTGGAGACTTGTCGCACATTGTATGCAGTGTAATTAATGGCAATAAACAATTTAAATTTGAATCTGGTTTCTAGTCCAGTTCTGTGATTGTTGCAGTGATTAATTAAGGTAGTTGTTGACCAATTGTGCTGGATAGGCTGTGTCAAGATAAAGTAGCTATGTGACGCTAGTGCTCTCAGGTAAGATTCAACAAATTTACTCAAGAGCAATTGGGTTGGCAACTCGTATACCGCACCCCAACAAACTGTGATGTACTAGGAAAGCCTCTGTCAAAATACGTTGAAGGGTAAACAAAGATTAACTCATGAGTTACAGTAGAGCTAATTGAATTAGGAAAATAATTTATACTAAACTTATTCAAGTGTCTATAAATTTTACTGTAAAATCAATATTTGTTTTTCAGAGAAGTGCGAGAATGTCTGAAACTAGACCCAGAACACAAAGACTGTTTTCCTCATTACAAGAAAGTGAAAAAGGTTGACAAATTAATAAACGACTGCCATAATGCGGTGGAAGAGAAGAATTACGCAGACTGCATTGACTACGCTCTCAAGGTATGAAGAAGCAGACCAAGAGTGGTTTATTTAAATTTACGTTCATGCACAGTAATTAATGTATTGGTAGTTTAATTGTCATCTAAAGTAATTTAAAAATGGGGGTCTGCAGGCCCCCTCTTTGGATTGTTCAAAAAAGTGTTGATTTAAATAAAATTAATAATTATTATACAGTACTACCTTTGGTTTGTGAAATATCAGAACATCACCTAATCGAAGTAAAATCATGAACTTTTGAATATGTTTTTTAAGAATTTGTAAGGAACCATACTAAAGATCAATATTCTTAACTTACTTCCAACAAATGAGTAATGAATGTGCCCTGATGTTACAGTTGTTGAAGGCCGAGGAACAAGTAGAGATGATCCGGTATGTTGCCAAAGAGAAGTTGTGCCACTGTTACCTACACACTGACCAGGTGACACCTAGCCTGCAGAACTGCCGTGAGGCGCTGGAGATACACAGGGACCCTGCTGTGTTGTGCGACCGAGCCGAGGGATATCTGGCGTCAGACATGTTCGATGAAGGTGAATAGACAGTCGAAAAAGGTATAAGTTGTTAGACTCCTTTGGCCAAATAAAATTTCCTATCATATCAAAATACAGCTATGTTGAACGTAACTTGAAATTATCGTCAATAAAATTTTAAAAAACCAAAACATGTTCTTATAGGCAGGTTTTTGACATAGCGCGAATAGCTAACTGCTGTATGTGATTTTCACAATGTGTACTAAAAACAAAATAAAAGCTATTACTAACAAAATACACACTAGGCTTGTTAAAATGAAGAAAGGGAGATTTTATGCTGTACATCACTGAAGATATTTTAATTCATATCTGATTGAAAGATAGGGCATTTGCCAAGAATTGGTTAGGTTTAACTTGAGTTAAATCCATAGATATACAATATAAACAACACAAAAGTAGTAAGGTAAACCTGCTTTCCTGATATTTAAATTCATTGAATTAATAAATATAATACGTCTAAACTTTAATTGGGTTTGTGACTACTATTTAGGACCCTAATGATTTTTTCTTAAGACAAATAACATTACCCCTAAACAATATATTCTCAGTTACTTAGGCTTTGAGGTCTTGAATGCAACAATTTCTCGTTATCCAATTATAAATAGCTCCTAATTTTTATTCTCAAAAATATAATTGAAAATGCTTATATATTTTCTATTTTCAGCAATTAAGGACTACCACGAAGCATTGGATATAAACAAGGACTTTCATCGGGCAAAAGAAGGTATAAAGAGAGCACAGAAACTACAGAAGATGTCTGAAAGGAGAGACTACTACAAAATCCTTGGCGTGGGAAGAAGAGCTTCAAAATCAGAAGTAACCAAAGCTTACAGGTGAGATCCATTTAACCCTTAGAGTGCCAGGCGAGAAATAAAAGTAACGCTCAAAAAATGCCGATGATTATTCCCGAAGGTCGCGCTTAAAATGCCGAGCGCGATCTGGCGATTTTTAGGTTAAAATTTCGTAAAAATCGAATTTTCGATATTTCGACCAACGAAAATCGATGTATCGCATCTAGTAACTTTCGACTCAATGTTAATATATGGGTTAAAAGAATCCGAGTATCCATTCGGTTGTTATGACAACTGTTCGATCATTACGAAACGTCCGGTCAGCCGGACGTTGGCACTTTTGGCTCGTTCTAAAAACGTCCGGTCGGCCGGACGTCGGCACTTTTGGCTCGTTTTAAAAACGTCCGGTTCCCTGGACGTTGGCACTAAAAGGGTTAACTAAACTCATAAAAATTTATGTTAAATACATCAGGAAACAATGAGCTGAATATTGACGCAAGGTAATAATATAGTGGCAGGAGAAGGTGTGGTACTACAGCTAAATACATCAATTTCACAGTAGTGTATTAGCCTTAAAGATGAGAATGAGATTTTATTTGCCAGTTAATATTCCATACAAATACGTTGGCACGTCAAATTAGTCATAACATAACATTAATTAAAATCCAGTGGAGTCAGTGTCCTTGACATATAATCTTCTATTGAGTATAATGGCTGATTACAAAGAAAGTTATTTATTTTAATCTTGAAATCCTTATCACTAAGTAATCTTATGGCTATTGGTAACTTGTTATACAATTTACTGCTTAAAATTAATGGTCTTTTATCAGACTTGGCAAGTCTAACATAAGGAAGATTTATATTACATTTATGACGAGTATTATGGTAGTGTATATCTCTCCTATATTCCAGCTTATCTAATTGTGGTCTTAAATATAACAGGCATTGCTTAATAAATAGAGAAAACAGTGATAATATTTGGTATTCTTTAAAAAATTCAGTACAATCATGGTGCCTATCTACTGCAGCTATTACCCTAATTGCCCTTTGCTGCAGATTAAAAATTTCTTTTGCGTGAGCAGAAAAAAAAATTATCCGGTACAACACACATGTCCTCGATAAACAAGCACACTGTAGGTGAGATATTTTTTTCCCAATTCTCTTATTGTAAATATTTCCAATTTTCTTAGTGAAGATAACTGTTTCTTTCAGAAAATTAGCTCAGAAGTGGCATCCAGACAATTTTCTAGATGAAGATGAAAAGAAAAAGGCTGAAAAGAAGTTTATGGACATTGCTGCTGCCAAAGAAGTTCTAACAGATCCAGGTACAGTGCTTTATATATTTAATGATTTTTTTTTAAGGATTCAACTAATGGCTGTTCAGATTCAATTACATTTATTACCTTGAACACTTGGATTCTTGTAGCTCTAGAAAATAAATATAAGATTCAAATATTATTTATTTATAGTACAACAGCATGGTTACGGGTCTCGTAAATAGACACACTCTCCAGTTTAACAGTTAAAGACAGATATGAGCGAGGGTCAAAAAGACATCTTGGCCTCTGTGTTAAACTATATTTTTCGTATCCATGCACTATTTTTAAGCTATATTCTTCTATTGCTCTTAAATTTTTCTATGTTTCATATAACAATAAGCCATACTTCTAAACAGTTGGTTGATGATTTCCAGTGTGGTTGGAAAATTGTATTACATCCATTTAATTTTACATTAGTTTATGGTATATGAAAACTACTCAGCCACTGGGGCGGAGCCCGAAAGGATTTTTGAGATAAAAATAGGCCTATATGTCAATCGGGAATGTGAGATATCATCATGCCAACTTTCAGCCCAATCCGTCCAGAAGTTAATGGGTGATTGAACTTCAAACAAACAAACACACAAACTTTCATTTATAATATTAGTAAGATAAGATAATATTTTTATATTAATTACTTAAAAAGTTTATCCCATGGATTAATTTTCTCTTGGTTTTAAAAACATGTGTATTTTTCTAAATATTTATCCTAAAGAGACTGAATTATTACTTTTCACTATATTTATTGATAACTTATTATTGTAAACACATTCACTGCGCATGACGAGTAATCTCGTCACCGCTAGCACTTTCCAGCATGCGACGAGTATAACTTACTTGTCAAACCCCCGTTTACTAACTATTGTTCCATGGTGAAGTTGGCCACTGTGTGATACGTTGTTTCGCTTGCCGCTTATTGTGTCAGTTTTATACTTCAATCTGGTATAATTTGTTTTCAGATCTGACTATTTTAACGGTAGTAGGGACTGTTACAAATTTATTGTAGAGTGGGATTTAATGACATGGAATAGAATTACGATAATGAATATACTGTAGAATTGTGGAAGAAACTTAACCCATTGGAGACTTTGCACGAGACTGTCTCGTGACGAGTTATGTTGGCCCAAAAGCCTCATCACGAGATAGTCTCTTGATGACGTCATAGCATTATTATTGATTTTTTAAATAATTAATTGTTGCGTAGTTACTAAGTTTTATGTATTGAAATGTTTCTCAAGAGTTATAGTTTAAATAAAAAATGATTATTTAAGAATGAACTAAAAGTAATAAGTAGAAAACAAGTAACAAAAAGTGTAAAAATATTACGTCATTGAAAGTTGTCATTACGTAACAGCTGATTTGTTTTATTTGTTATAAGTCTACAGTTTTACAATAAAATTGTTTTCTTACTCTCTCTGTAATATTAGAAACTGACAAGGGATGTTATTTTCATTTGTATGGTTGACAATATGGTGCAACAGATGTGACGTGATTGTTTACATTCTTGATTTTCAGACCTTAGTGTTTGTTTGTGTTCGTACTTTCAGTGGTGATAAGTCATTATAACTTAGTTACGGGTTTATTATTATGTATTATAAATGGAAGCCAACAAACTAATTTGATCGCATATTCTCGAGTGAGATTGACTGCCTTTAGTGCGAAAATGAATGTGAAAGTGACGGCGATCGGGCGGCGTAGGCCTATCCGGCGTAGGCCTATCCGGCGTAGGCCTAGTGGTGATGAGAGGGTAGACAGTGTTTTACATTTACAAATTAAAAATTGTTATGTAGGGAATTGAATAGAGTAAGGGAATAAAAGCAAGAAATGGTTTTAAAAAAATATTAATAATAAATTCTTTGACATTGCTTTTGAAAAATATATATAAATTTTTTTTTATTTTCATTTTGAAAGATTAAAAAAAATATTATTGTTATTTTTTTTTACTTGAAACATATTTATTACAATAGGAAATTTAATTTTAATTAATTTACATACAACTTTTATCTATTTAAGTTAAAAAGTAAATTTTTTATGCATTTTTTACTGAAACACTGCAAATTAGCCATTTTTTAATGGATTCTAAAGGCTATGCTATTGAACACAAAACCAAGTCTCCAATGGGTTAACCTCAAAATTAATTGTGCTTGGCCCCTTTTTTGTGGTATTTCTGATGGTGTATCCGTGTACTTCGCCTCTGCTTTTTCCCTCCATTTGGCAATAATGACTGCACTATCATAATATAGAGTCAAACAACATATAACTATTTAACATATATTACAATATATTTAACATATAAAATATATTTAACTATATAACATATTTTAGGGTATAACTATGAATAAACTTGGGTTTGCTATTGGCTAGTAGTTTTATTTAGTGCTGCTATCTATTGGGTTCTTGTAAAACTACTTCCACAACAACTGAGTCTCAGTACATTATCCAATCGTTATTCAGCCCTTCCTACTCCCATGACAGGGGCTCTACTGTATTATATCCTCAAATCCGGATCAAATGTTAAAGAAGAATCTTGTCATGAGATTCGGTTAATGTCAAATTCTAAATTCACTTACCACTACTGTTGTTGGTTTTTTACAGACAAAAGGGCCAAGTTTGACCAGGGTGAAGACCCCTTGGATCCAGAGAACCCGCATAACCAGCAGAACGGGTTCAATCCCTTCCAACAGTTCCACGGCTTCCACGGCAGCCACTTCAAGTTCCACTTCAACTAGTGAACCAGATTCAGAGTAGAAAATAATGTTTTAATACAGTGACTACAGTGATCATTTCCATGTCAAGTGAGGTTACTTTATTATCAGTTGTGTTGTTGCTGTGATCTCCGTGTATGTGTGAACACAAATGTTTTATTTAAGTCAGGGAATACTTTCTCGGAACAATAAAATGCTTCTATCTGAAATGTATATTTTAACTGTAAAAACATGGTGCTCCCTATAATGCCATACAGGAACATTTTTAAATGTGAATGAAAACGCTCAACTTTCATGTGAGGTTTTCAATTTAAATATGTGAAAATGTTTGAATTGGAGATATTAACTTCTTGGATTGTTATTTTCATTGAACATCAAACCTTGTAAATTCCATTCATCCATTCTGCCTTACTTCAGAGGTCACGTTCCGTACAAAACATTTGTACATATGCCACATTGTACTGTGATGTGTTATCTAGTTTTCTATTTTTGTCACTTTGATATTGTTTTATTTATTTAATTTTTGTTTTTGTACACTTCTCCAAATGTGTATTTATATATTTATCATATCATTTTAGTGCTATAATTGTTTTTGAATAGTTATATAGCAAATTGTAAAACTTCCATGCTTTGAAGTTTAATCAGAATTTATAATTTTTATGTTTGTAGCCAAAGAGTTGTCCTGCCTTTTGATAATCGGTTCAGGCACACAACAATCAAGTTTGCTGTGTATAAATTTCTATATCTGTACAAATATAATATCCATTGGTTACCTTTGTCCCCCATAAATTTCAGGTTGATTTGATAATCAAACATATTTTTATGTTAAGCTCTACATTTGTCATGTCTTCTAATTTACACGTCTTCTAATGATGGGTTTCAGTTCTAAAATCAGTGATTGGATGTAGATCAAGTGATTGCTTTTATCATCTACACATGTCACATTTGTAGCTGTGGTATGAATTTTTGCTCACTCAGAAATAAGCACAAAGTAATACTGTCTTCTTGAATGATTAACCATAAAATCTGAAAGTTTCTCCTAGTTAAAAACTAAAACTATCAGAACTCTATCTTAACTACCCAAATCTAGTTCTTCATTCATAGGATTATGTTTGAAAAACACAGTATGTTAAATGTCTGTTATATGTTTATGAGTTTAGTTCAAGCCAGTTTTAACTTATTTGTACCTGTAACTTTAATGAACGGAATTTTCTGGACCATAGGTTTTGTTTTATATACATAAAAAGCCATTGTCTTAGAATGTGAATATTACATACGTCAATCTTGAAACCTGTGTTAGGCTATAATTCGTTTTAGTCTTAAATTTGTTTTGCCATAATTTAGTCGTGTACAAAAATGTATCATACTGATATGTACATAATAAATAAGTTACTAATTTAAATTTGTTTATTTCCCCTCCTAACTTGAACCATTTATGTTAGATCTTCTATTATGCCTTCGGTAATGCAGGTGGTCCAAGTAATTTCTAGACTTGGTTTGGTTTATACAATATCACATGGGTTTCAGCACTAGTGGTGCAACATAGACAAATTAAATACCACAATTCACAAAATATCATAGACTTTTGAAGGAGAACTTTATCATATATATTTCAGTGAATAAAACGTGTTTTTTTTACGACTGCGACTATTATAGTCGGTCTGCCACTTCACGAACACTTAAAATTGATTGATTTGTTTTTGTTGTTGTGAGACCATATGTAATTATACCGACATGATATTTGCACCATAATATAGGATATTTCCTTCCTTATTGCTGTGGTACCACCCGTTTCTTTGTATATAAAAAAAAATATTCCTTCTTATGATTTTTTTTAAACATACTGTGTTTGGCAGTTTTGTACATGATGCAACCGACTTTGCTAGAAATTTTCGTTCACTTAGTGCTCAATTACAGTGATCCCTTTCTGAGATAAAGTTCATTATGTAACTAAGTGCAAAGTCTTATCATTCTAACGGTATAAAAATTATTCCATATTACAATCAATTTTAACCATTTATTTTCAGCTAATCAAAACCTTGTAAAACGCGACTATTATAGTGGCACTGCCAGTGGAGGGCTAGGAAAGTACAGTATTACAATAGGAAATGTTCTGAAATTTTTTAAATAAACTACCTCAAATCTGCTGTCTGACAAAACTAAAACAGATATGAGTTAGGCGCGGCTCCACTGGAAAACGCGACAGATGGTGGCTCCACTAGTAGCGTAATACGAACTACAATCCGAGCGTCCTCGCATGCACTGTGACTCCACTAGCAGTTTAGTGTAGCCCCGAGTTAAACGTGGCCCTGGATCATGGCCCTGGAACGTGGCCCTGCAAATTAACATTCGTAGTGTTGTTATCAGTGTACTTTTAGCAAGACGAGACCAATCACAACAGAGAATATGGTGGATCCATCCAAATTAAGTAAGAGAAAGTCTGAAGGGATGTTCCACACATTGCATAGCAAACTAAAAAAGTATTCAGACAAGTTTTTTGAATATTATGGAATGTCCCAAAATTCGTTTGATTACTTAATAGAAGCGGTATCAACTAATACCAAACTAAGTTAAGCAATGTAGACGAAAAGCTTTTAGTGACTTTAAGGTAATTGTAATTTTTAGTATACTGAATTTTTACTAATAAGTTTTACTCAGTGAACCTCGCTTCAATAAGCCTCAGTGTGTCAAATTTCTCCATTTTAATGGTCATTTAATTTCTATTTCCATTTCAGTTTAATTGTATTCATTTACCCTCAGAGGTAATAATTTTTTTAAGTAACCAATATAAGCTGAATATCAACGAATTTCGTGAGTGTTTGGTGTACCTATTACTGTAATAACATAAAATCTAAAACAGCCATTAAGAGCTTTTCATTTTAATATAGCTAATAAGGCTTATTAGTGTAAATTGCACAGTTTAGTTTAATTGCAACACACATCTTTCTTATAACAATACAATTAATTGAAGGATGTAAAAAATCTGATTTTGAACTATGTTTACATTGACAGGTATTTTATTACCTTGTTTAAGGTAATGCTTATATTAACAGTTAAGTTATATATAAAACTATGACGTTTTGATAATAAATTATGGTTTATTAACTTGTGGAATATTGTAATAATAGGAGTAGTGGAATGAAAACCTAAATAAACAATATAGTGATTATCGTTAATCCGCCAATTCCAGACCGTAACACTTGTCCCTGACCATAGCGTTCATGATTTGGATCATAACAAATTCAAAACTTGATATATCAACATAAAATTCAAATGTTTTATGAACACAAGAAGCCTCTGTAAAAACATAAAGGTATTTCATATATCGGGAACATTTGTTCGAAGTTGCACGAACTTATAGAGATTTCTTTTAGTTTTACAATTTTTTTTTAGAAAGACCAAATTTACCAAAGGCTTAGTGAGCTCTTTATTGCAAAATTCCCCTAAAACTAAATGTATTTACAAAAAAACATATTTTTAAAAATAACATTAACTATTTTTAATTAATTATTAATTTTTACCTCTGTTATGGTCGTGACAGAATTTGGTATTTTTCCATTGCTATATATTGATAAAAAAAACACCAAAGATATTAACCATGGATATTTTATAAAACTTCAAATAGCAATAAAATAAAAAAAAACAATTCTAAAAAGAAAATAAATTTATAAAGTTCTTCTCTTGAATTCGTACGTTTTTAAATGTTCACTCTAAACTGGAATTGCAACAAATCAAAGCAACCGAACCCATAATAAGGTTCATGTTAAATTTTCGAAAATGTATATGCATTATAGTAAAAACAGATTTTTCCTGGATATACAGTAACACTGGACTGTTCTGGAACTTATTGTTGAAGCAGACCTTAGTTATACCGTAAGGTGTTCAAACTAAGGTGCTGATTCCGAGATTGTACAAGTAACAAAATAATATAAGTTAAAAACTTTACTCATATTATATGAGTTGGAATTTGTGGAGTGTTGAATGGATACACATTTTTGGTCGCCAATGTTTCAATTAATAATTATTTTAGTTAAATAACACAATAACACCACTGACTATCTTTAAAATATCTTTTAAAATAAACTAAAATTTCTATGAAACTATACATTAAGTACGTAATCCTTATAAGAATATAATAATTACAATGCGAAAATGATAATTAAGTTCACTTTAAAAAAATACTAGGTGGCGTTTGCAGAGGCATCCACAAAATTGAGCGGAGTCTTCAAGGGTTCATATTATCTTAATCTAATCGTCATAAACAGTTCTCACACTCCGGACAGCTCACCTCGACTACTTCCTTCACCACTTCCTACATCTAGCTGTTTCCCTCTCTTCCCATATCATTTTAAGATTGTAGATACCTTAATCTAATTGTCATAAACAGATCCCACACCCCGAACAGCTCGCTTTTACCACTTCCTACGTCGCGGACCTGTTTCATTCCCTTCCAATAGCATTTTAGGATTGCAGATACCTTAATCTAATCGTCATAAACAGCTCCCACACTCCGGACAGCTCGCCTTTACCACTTCCTACGTCGCGGACCTGTTTCATTCCCTTCCAATAGCATTTTAGGATTGCAGATACCTTATAATCTAATCGTCATAAACAGATCCCACACCCCAAACAGCTTGCTTTTACCACTTCCTTCACCACTTCCTACGTAACGGACCTCAAGCTAATGTCGTCACTTGATTATTTATGATCCATACTGTTTCTGTTCTAATATCTGTGGAATGATGCTATCAGCTATTTCTTTATCTACTGCATTCAAACGTCAACAGCTGATCATATGATTTTGTTTAAGTGTCAAATACTGCTTCCATAAGGATTACATTCTTCAAAATTCCCTAGATGACTTAGAAGAATGGTTGCAAACATGGAAAATAAAAGTGAATGAGAGCAAATCTACTCATGTGACCTTTACTACCAGATTAGGTACTTGTCCTCCTGTAACCTTAAATAATGTCCAAATTCCGCAATCCCACGATGTGAAATATCTCGGCATGACGATTGACAAAAGATTAACCTGGAAAACCCATATCTGGAATAAAAGAATGTACCTAAATTTAAAATTGAAAAATCTTTCCTGGCTCCTAAATAGTAAATCAAAATTGACCATTGCAAATAAATTATTACTATACAAAGTAATGCTGAAGCCAATTTGGACTTATGGAATCCAACTGTGGGGAACGTCCAGTATGTCGAACATAAACATTATCCAACGATTTCAGTCAAAAGTTTTAAGGTTCATTCTGCAAGCCCCGTGGTATGTTAATAACAATATCCTTCACAAGGACAGTGGAATTCCTACGGTTGAAGAGGAAATAACCAAATTTAGTGCAAAATATCTAAAGAAACTTGAAAATCACCCTAATCACCTGGCTCTAAACCTCTTGGACAACAGCACCAGTATATACAGGCTAAAAAGGATTCATGTTTTGGATCTAAGCACACGTTTTGTTTGAACAATTTAATTTTCCCTTGTTTATTTACATATTTATGTTTTCATTGAAATATTTTTAAGTTAGCTCTGTCAATGGACAGAGATTAACTAACGTTTTATTAAAATTTGTGATTGTATTTGCTAAATGTTCTAAAAATGAACAGATTGTAAATAAAATTGTGATAAAAAAAAAAAATAAGGATTACATTGAAACTTTGAGACCCAGTGGGGCGGATCCTTGAGAGACTTTTTTAACGCCATATAGATGTTGGCACTCACCGATATGGTTTTTATCACCATGCAAAATTTGAAAACGATTGATTCAGCCGTCTAGGAGGCTCCGTGTTTAGCCCGGACGTGTTTGACGCGGACACCCTCAAAATGGTGTTTCACCCGGACGGACGCTTCAGAAATCCCCGCGCCACGGCTGGGTGGGTAATTCGTCGCTTTTCGCCCCCATTAAATCGAGTAAGGACGCTCGGTGGCGTTTCCCTCCCAACACAGGGAATTATTACTGTACTATCGTAACCAGAACTGGTGGCCCGTAGCTACAAGTGGTAGAAAATACTGTTTTTTTTTATTTATTATTAATTCTATTCGGATTTCAAAAACTAAACGTTATTACTACCTGTATAATTGCAAGCATGGAATCTATAATGTTATAAATTACAATTACAAATATTAGTTTTAGCAATAACTTTTAAATATAACAATAAAATAAAGGACATTGAAAGTAAAGCCTTCAAATTTTAGTATTATATCAAATATTGCACATACTTATTAACAATGAACCTGAGCATATTCCATAACAATTAGAGAATGATTACTTAGGTGGCTATTTTAAAATCAAAATTTAAACTTCAATTTTAGTCCTGCCCCACGGATGGGGAACAAGACTGTTTCATGATTCTTAGCCTGAATTTTTTATACTGCTTTACTGCAGTACCGGATTT